TTTTTTTATGTTTATATATATTTTGTATGTTTTGGTTATTTTTTTTTTCTTTTTGTGTATTTTTTTTTTATATTTTTTTCAGTGTTCTGTTATTTTTTTTTATGTCAATTTGTTAGTATTTGTTTTTGTTTATTTGATTTTTTTTTGGTTAGTTATTTTTTTTTTAATGGAGTTAGGTATCGCATTTTCGACCTGGTGCGGGGAAGAGTATGGAAGTTATTAGAAGTAGAAACTACTCAATGGAGAGCTCGGGGCCCAGACACGTTAGATCCCGTGGTATTTCGGCTTCGGCTCGCAGAGAACGGGTTCACCATCCTGAGGAGGATGAAGATGATGATGGTGAGGAGGAGGAGGATGCAGATGAGGATGTGGACAATCAGAGTGGACCATATGATGATTACAGTCCATTCAGTTAGAGGCTTGATGATGTGTAAGAGACGCATATGGTAAATGTGCGTAAAGGTAGAGATGGTAGATTTGTTAGTAGATCTGCACATCATCTGCGTCCACTATGTTTGCGGTAAGCAGAAAACGGTCGAGGGCCGTTAATGATTCTTGGGTGGTGAGGGGTGAGGTGGCAAGGGGACCTGTAGACGGGAGTGTGATTCCTAGCTTTCTAGGACACATAGCTACCCGTATCTGGGAGGACCAGGAGAGGACTTTGGATACGGGCATTTTGAATTGCCAAACTCGGGAAAAGACTTGTAATTTTTTGTGTAGTTGGGCTGAGGCTTGGCCGAAGGAGAGCGAAATGTTCAGCTGATTGCAGGGCACTAGAGTGAGTCACCTTCCTGCCACCATGCACGATAATATTGACTCAATGCTGATCACAGCTTTCGTTGAGCGATGGCAGCCAGATACGAACTCTGTCCACCTTCCGTTCGGTGAGATGACGATCATGTTACATGACATCGAGGCCATCCTTGGGATTGCACAAAGGGAAAACGACTTTCTGTTATGACTGATGCGGATCGGATAGATTTGCTGGCGGAGCTGTTGGCGGTGGACAGGGTTACGCTATACACCGGGCGCTTGGTGTTTGGGATCATGGCGGTGTGAAGATCGCATCCGTCTTGCAGCGTTGTTTGCACCCCACTACACGTAGGACGCATGACGCACAGCTGGCTGCATATGTTTTTCTTCTCCTCGGGTGTACCTTGTTTCCGGATAAGAGCGGAAACAAGCTCAGGCCACGCGACATAGTTGACGCGTGTGAGCCTGACAGAGTAGGCCAGTTTTCTTGGGGGTCGGCTACGTTGGCGTATCTGTATCACCAACTAGGATTTTTGAGCCGGGCTGACGCGACAGGTATCACTAGATGTTTGACTTTATTACAGACCTGGATATACGAGTATTTTCCTGCATTTCGACCACACCGCGACCCGGTTCCTATTGGGGATAGGATGCCACGTGTCAGGGCGTGGAGTCCGTGGTTCGAGAAGAAGTTCGTTGACCGCCTCCGATCGATATGGTTATTGCTTGACAGGATGTCCCCCTTAGAGGTAAAGTGTATAAATTATTTCTAATTTTATATTGTGATGCATTTATTATATGAATCTTACTAATTTGAAAAAATGTGCAGGTGAAATGGATGCCTTTCGGCCAGAACCCTAGTAATAGGGTACCCAGGACCCTCTACACGGGACTCATTCAGTATCGTGAGATCGTAGAGGCGTACATGCCCCAGCACTGTCTTCGCCAGCTTGGATTTGTTCAAGTTGTCCCTCCTCCACCAGCATGACAACTGCATCAGGTAGAGCTGCTATTGATGATTTAGAGCGGGCCCCAGCGCAGTGGCAGTGGGCGTCAAAGAGGGATTACTGATCTGTTGGCAGTTTATGTATAGAACATTTTGTACATTATCATAGTAGTTTGTAAGATCTGACATTATCGTTTAAGTTTGTAACATTTGACATTATCATTTTAAGTTTTTTAAATTTGACATTATCTTTGTAGTTTGTATCGCGCAAATATTAATTAGTATGCATGCAAGATATAAATTTAATCAAAATTAGAATAGAAAAAATAAATGTCTGTAAAAAATAGCAACACAAATACAAGGTTACATAAAAAGTTATACGCATGAAATACTAAAAGGCAGCTAGGTTGTTCCATTGATGGATCAGGTCATGATACAGCACATCCTAACCCTCTACGCTTGGTATGCGAATGGTGTACCACCGAGGTATGATCAGTGGCATTGGAAAATCAGATGACAGGTCCAATTGGATGAAATGTCTGTATGACGACCCCAGAAATGCAATAGCTAACTCTCTTAACGGTCTAGTGACGGTCCCATGCAAAGACCAAGGGAGAACCGTGGTACATGGATAATAAGTTCGACTACGCAAACCAAGCCCGAAATGCATGACTACACACTTGTAGATGTTTGCAACGACAAAGAGATCAAGTGGGGCGTCGAACCAATGATTTTGACCGCAAGGTCCTCCTCCCCACCAGATACGCCGCAGAGAACTATCCAAGTCTTGGCCGTACACATGACGATAAAAATCTCAGTTTAAGGCAATTTCACTGTACATCAACTAACGCACTAAAGCGTAGTTGTCTTCACTGCCTGAAATACATCAGCCACGATCCGAAATCCGCAGTTTCCATCTGCAACCACATCATTCCACCCGTCCAAGTATTCCATGATGATATTAGGAATCATGTCCTTATATGGAAACTAATCAATATCCACTCTTCATGTTGAACCTATCAATAAACACAATTAACAAGTCAGCAGTAAACTCAACAAACATTCTAAAAAGTAAATTATAGTAAAGCACTATACCGGTTCCGAGCATGTTCACCGACGAAGAAGATTGGCTACGACTGGATGACGATGAACGACCACGGCCACGACCACCACCACTAATGTACTCAAACGCACTACTATTCCGCCGTTGTCGACCTCTAGGTCGCTCGACCCCTTCAGGTTCCTCGTGATCCAAGCAAGACGTGTTGAACATGTCATGAAGTACGTGGGTAGCATCACGAATGATTGAAGGGTGACTGGAGGACACTCGGTCAAACATCGAACGAAACTGCTCCAACTCCTCCTGTTCACGGTCGACCGTCTGTGGAGCAGCATGCTCTCCAATAACGAGCATCCGCCATAATTGATGAACCTGATCAACATGTAATGACGCCCTATCTCTGGTAATTACGTGGTGAATGGTGCATGCACTAGGTAATCCATGAGTCACTGATATAGCACATCCGCACCGAATAGCCACTTCATCACCCAACTCCTTCATCCTGTTGTGTTCGCTCAGAATCAACCCCAAGCAGTAGTGTGACACACTACCATGGAGAATCTTAAATATGAAATGGCAATACATCATACCATGTCGCCGTCTAGAGTCCTCGAGAGAGTTCTTGATGCCGTTCTTGTGAGTATCAATAGCCTTGTTTATTCTCTCGAACAGTGTATCCAGAGCAGAGGTGGAAGAATCAGTCCAGTCCTTCAAAGCTCTATGAACGCTCTCAACTCTACATATTGTAGTGTTTCCAAAATGAATAACTTGGTTTGTCCAATATTTGACAAACTTTTCCCTTTGAGGTATCCACTGCTACATCACATAATTTACCACTGTCGGACACCATTGTTACGCATCCCTAAAGTTATCCAAGGCTCGATCGTACTCTGCCTCTGTGGTAGCTTGCAGGATCTTCTGCCACTTACCATTTATCAATCTCTGTGCTGAATCTAAATTCTTGTTGAAAAGGTTGTAGGCTTTGACTTTCACAGAGTTGTTAATGTGCCATGTGTACAGTAAATGCTTCGATTCTGGAAACAGCTCCGCTATAGGGGCAAAGAGACCTCCCTCACAATCACTGACGACGGCTGATGACTGAACATTAGAGCCGATGTAGTTTCTCAACTTCTTCAACACCCAATAATAACTCGCATCCGTCTCATCCTTGATGACTGCATAACCAATTAGAAAGTTCAAGTTCGTTGAAGCCATCCCAATCATTTCAACCAGTGGGAACTTGTACTTGTATGTTGAATCGATCAAAAGCACAGATGGCCAAGACTTGATCATATCAGCACAATCAGGATGCACAAGGAACAAATGGGTCACCTCCGATGTCTCTTCATCAGAATTAAACACGAACAGGTAACCACGTGCTTGTGCCTGGTGTAGAAGCTGCTGAATAGGGTTCCTTCCCTCTGACCGTTCAAACCTCAGTTTTTGTCTGACGTTGTAGATGTGTCTTCGGTTTAGCTGGTCTTCAGGAAATTTCTCTAACACAGATGCGAATATTTTAGCAGGCTTCACTTGAGCATCACTCATTTCTTTGACAACTAGTTTTGCAGCAGGACTTAGGCCGCTTAACTGTCAATGACCCACTTCATATACTATCATCTCATGGTTGTGATACCCCCATTTAGAGTAACCCTTCACTTCCCAAACGTCACGACTTTGGTGTTGCCGAACCTTTACTCTGAACTCACACCCACAACCATATGAATGTTAATGGTGTTTGTGTGGGCTAAAGCCCATCACCTTTTATAAGAAGCACAATCCAAATACCAAAGAAAAATAATGTATATGAAATTTTATTGTTAGGTAAAAAAATATGTTAGAATAAGTAAACTAAATTTACCCTACGTTTTAAATTTATGATTAGTAAAATTAGAAAATCATACTCCATTTCGGTTTTTATTGGTGAATACAAAACTACTGACTTACTACGACGTAGAATCAGTAAAGGAAACTCCAAGAATCTAAACATTGATAATAGCAATGCCAGTTTCACATCTTAAGTTAGAATGTCAAAAATTCACGAACAAATAGCAATTGCAATCAGAATATTGTAACTAATGATTGTCACTATAATAAACCACTATATAAGTCTACACCTAGTTTAATTCCCGAATCTAAGTGGCAAAGTAGTGGTTTTAAACCATAATGCAATGTTTCTTGAAAGCAAAAACATTGATACTTCACGTATAATAATGTATACTTCACAAAGAGAAACTGCTGGTAGCCTGTTTACTAGGAAGAGCAAAACTCTAACAATGAGTTCATCACAGTTTTACGCTATCTGTCATTCAATAATCCTAACCTACCTGTAAAGATTTACTAACAGCAAGTTTTATGCATTTGCCTTAGGCTTTACCAAGTTAATTGATTAGCTGCACTGCTCTGTATCATTTTCAATGATACCTGCTAGCCGTAAAAGCTCATAAGACACTACATTCTTAACAGCATTTGCAAAACACTGGTTTGTAGCTTTTGTTGTAAAAACACAGACATCTTTTTCTTTCTTGGCCCGTGATAATGCAACGTAAAGTTGTCCATGTGAAAAGCATGGCCGTGGAAGATGAATGGATATTTGGCTAATAATTTGCCCTTGAGACTTGTTGATTGTCATTGCAATGCTTAACTTGATTGGGAATTGTTTCCTTTCAAACAAAAATGGATAGTTGACAGAGGTAGAAGGTCTTAAGTTGACTCTGTGTATGAATACCTCTTCTCCTTTATAATAGCCAACTGATATAACACACTGAATGATATTTGGGAAAAATTTCTTACAAATTAGCCTTGTGCCATTGCATAAACCTGAAGAAGGGAGCAAATTTCTTAACAGTATAACAGGACAACTTTCCTTCAAGACAAGCTCATGAGGACTCATTCCACCGGGACATAGTTTGTTGATAAATTATGTAGGATATATACTACATGTATCATTCAGCATGGCATCAAAACTCTTGTATGTAACAGCTTGTCCAGGAAATTTCTCAATCATGAATGTGTTAATAGAATCCACATCTTCATTCATGGGTTTCAAAATTGCTTTTCTGGTGAAAACCTGACAATCAAACTGCCCTTGAACAACTTCTGAAAATGTTTTTTCTATAATGGTAGCTACTAATTCTGTTAAATTGTTGGTGCACTGTACAATCTCTTCTGGTAACTCGATAAAGGCATTTTCTGTTTCTAGTAGTTTTCCATTGCCCAAATCAAGCAGAAAAGCAGAATACACGTGATCTTCTCTTGCTCTAATGTTTTCTGTCAACCTAAATTTGATGAACTTTGGCCACAGATTAGAAGTAACAATGCTTGTTTCTACTGCTTCCTTCATAGTATTCTGAGGAACCACTAGTAAAACCTGCCTGAAATCCCCTCCAAAAACAATAACCTTTCCTCCAAATGTCATAATATTCCCATATATATCCTGTAACAAAAGATTTGAAGATTTAAGATTTTGCTTCATAGTCATTGAAGCCTTGTCCCATATTATCAATGTAATTTTCCTTAACATTGCTGCTAAATTACCCTGTTTTGGAACATGCAAGCTAAAGAAGCTTCACTGTCTATTGGAATTTTAAATCATGAATGAGAAGTTCTACCCGAAGGAATGTTTGCTGCAGCAATTCCTGATGTAGCTGTAGGTAAAACAATCTTGTTCATTAGTCGTAATCTGCATATAAAGCATTATACAGGAAAGTTTTTCCTGTACCTCCGGGGCCATCAATAAAAAATAAGCTCTGCCCTTTTGCTGCATGACATGTTCCATTATACACACAAAAGCAGCATTCTATGCAGAGTTCAGCTTAGAACGACAACTTAAGCATTCCTCTGGGATTGGTGCACCAAGGGCATCTAGAATGTCTTTTGTACGTCTGAACTCATCATTAACCTGGGAATTTAAAAGGTCTAGCCCCAAAAAAAAACAAGAGATTTTCCCATGGCTTCAAGGTGCTACTCTACTGCTCTGACAGTAAGTTGTTGCACTTTGAGCAGGTGATTTGGAAATTTGTGAGAAATTCTTCAACAAGAAAAGGGTAAAATAGTTAACCCATAAAGCACCAGGATCACTTGGTTGACAAAACATAAGAACTGTTGCAAAAAAAAGGCGTAAGGCAGCAGGAATATGAGTCGCACAGGCTTCAGACAATGTTAAATTAGCTGCATCATCATCTTCTATAAGTCCAAGCTTTATAGCAGCTCCCTGAAAAGTCGGATAAAGACAACCATTGACAATTTGCAAATCTTCAAATGACTTAGGATTTCTCACATTTAGCAATAACAGTCTAAGGAAGAACCGTTCACCCTCTGCAAGGAAGACGAATGCTAATCTCCTAACTGAAATCCTGTTCTGAACTCTTTGATTCTATTCTTTAGCACTCTAATCTCATGTGAAATGCTCACCAAATTCACCATACAAGTATCCTAGTCCATCTTCAGAAGCAGCATTCAGTGTAAAAAATTCAGTTAGCTGAGTTCTTGACCGTTTAGAATCTGAAACAACAAAACAAAGCCTTTCATGAGGGCGAACATGAACAGTTTGCATATTAGGTAAATGGACCTGTAAAGGTAGAACCGCAGGATACATTTCAAACAAATCAAAGTTGAATATTCTCCATGCAGATTCACAAGGAGATACCCACCTCCCTGATTGATATTGTTCAATCTCATTTACAGGCTCACTGTTAGAAGGCACTACATTGTATGAAATTCTATCATGACCCTTGTATACATACTTGTATAGGTACTTTACTACTTTAATTGTTGAACATACTTCAACATTCAATTGAAATCAAATAACAAAGAAAGATAAGGATTACAAGGATTAACCCACTGGTTATCTAGCTGTGTATTCCTTATGGTTACCTTTTCCCCAGTTTCACTCCTCCGATAAATAGGATAACCATCTTTATTGTTAGTTGTCTCATTGCAAATTTGTTTAGGATACTTATTCTTGTAACTTCATTTTTTAGGCCATCTTTGCGCATACATGGACATTGTGGATTCAATAAACCACAAGGACCATGCATCATATGCGCCAACGCGATTCTCCTTAAATTGACATTAGTTTCAAGAGGTATTTCAGAACAAACAAACCTATCATAGTCACCATGACACTTCAGCTTGTATCTTGGTTTTAGAATAATTAAAAAATGGGCATGTGGAAAACCTCTTTTCTGAAACTCAACTACATATACCATTGCAGCAACTCCTGCAAAACTTTTTTTTCCATGATTTCTTTTTTCAGTGCAAGTAATTTCGCTCTAAAAATTCTAGCAACTAAATCAGGTATGTCTTATGCTGTCTCACCAGTAGCTAGCTCGGCTTTTATTTCTGGCCAATTAGTGTTACATGTAATTGTTACAAAAAAATCTGGCTTACCAAATTGCTGCACTAAAGCCATAGCATTTAGGTACCGCTTCTTCATATCCCGGGGGCCACTAATATAAGTTAGAGGTAAGATTACTCTACGACCAACATTATAAGCAACAATTTCCCCAAAATCCAGTGATTCTAAAATACCTTTTTATAGATCAGCTCTTATTATTTCCTGATTGTTTTGAAAGTAACCAAGCCTCGTATTTTCAATCTTTACATACATATCGACTATGTATTGCTGAAAGCATCTACCTGCTCGTAGTAACATGTTATTAGGCCGAATTTGCAGCTTATAAGCACAATATTCCCTAGGAGAAATAAACTTGTCTGCTTTAGTATTCTTTCTCTTTGCACCTGTATAAGAAAAAACCAAAAATATGTCACAACTGCAAAGAATGTGTGGTACATGTAAAAAATAGGTAATAAGGCATATAGAGTATAAAATGTCTACGTGTTTCTTCCTGGTTTAATAAATCTTCAGCAGTATGAATAACACAAGACATTATAGGATCTGCAATCGAATCTGCCACATTCTCCTCGAGGAAATAACAAAGGGTATTGAAGTGGATCATAACAACCATAATTATGATAGATTTGGTGAGATTCATTGGATCTTCCAGTTACTAATATATGAGGAACTTAGATTTGGCTAGATGAAGCATTTTCTAGCTAGATTACAACAACATCATCAACATCAGGTGCATTATAAACACGTTGATCAAGTATTGGGTTTTGGTTAAGAACAATTCTTTGTCCGTATTAATGGATCTGTCTCTTAAAGACCGGAAAAACACAGCATAAGGATTTTGTTGTGATACATGCATAAGGATACTAATAAAATCCTCCCTTACTTCAGGAAAACAACCCAACCTATTTTTCGCTTCATGTTGTCCATCATAGAAGTATAGGTATTTGGGACTACTATCATCAGGCAATAAATCTGGAACAAAATGATACATTTGGCCATGCAATTTGAATACATAAATGCCTTTGTAGCTGTTTGCATTAAAATGACCCCTAAGAGAACTGTACGCAAACAGATTATTGTATAATCTAGCATACTTTCGAAAGTGCACAGCAACTTCTTCCTTTAAAGTGAATAAGTAGGCAAGTTCAGGAGGAAACTCATTTGCAGCTATTTCAATTTCTCCATTCCCACAGCAAAAATGCAGGGACTCAAACATAAAAAAAATTTGCACCACATTTAGTACAGTAGCAAGGCACAGAACGTCTGAAAGGCTCTGTCGGTAATTGTTGATCTATAGCAGCACCAAGAAGATCTAAAAAAAACACAAAAAAAAAGAGCAAACAAGCATATAAGCTAATTGCTACCTATCATGATAGTTAGCTCTAAAATGTTTATTATTTCTATAGCCATTTACTTTTTGCATGACGTTGTGTAGGAGCTTTCTTACAAGAGGCAACTGTTCTTGATTCTGATTCACTGCACAAAGGACATGTTCTGTTATCTTGGCATTCATATCAGCCTTAAGAACCTATAATCCCAAACAATTTACCTATTTAGACGTGACTCAGCTAAATTAGCAAAAAGAACACTGATTAAGTATAATTCCATATGTTATTCCGTCCCAAGATGTAAATCAATTGTAAGCACCAAGAAACTCTATGTCTAGCAGAGGGCGGCTATAAGGCCTTGTCATTAAAAAGGGCAGACATGCAACCATTGTCAAATATGTCACAGCCTTGTGAGCCGCTTTTTTGCGAGACTCTTCTATCGAACTGGAATCTCCACCATAGAAAATGAACTTTGCGCGGGAATTTGGCCTATTAACCCGTACAAAGACATTGTTCTTAGCAGTATCTATGAATCCATAGACCGGAGATGGAAACTGCAGCCAAGCAATAATCTTTTCCAAAAGAGGCTGAAAAAGAACAAAGTCTTTGTTTGATCATCTGGCCATAACCTATAATGGCAAAATCGATGTTCTGGACAAAAATTATTCAGAACAGGACATGTGCTTCTCTCCTAAACAACACCACTAAACCCTATCTACAACACTTAACAAAATCTGTAACAAAACTCTAAAAAAAAGGGTTGCCTAATCACAGAAGGAAGACTAGAAAGGGGAAACAGTAACACTACATATAACACTGGGACAGTAACTGCACATCAGCTGAGCCTGAAAACCTACAATCACTATTAAAGCCAAAACCAGAATCATTTCTTGTAAACCCGAAAGGTCAATGTACATAAAAAAAACAAGATGCTTCCATATAACAGGCCAACATAAACTCTAATCAACAGGAAACTAGCACCTTAAAAGCATTGTAATTTGAATATGACACCCGTTGCATAAAAAGAGTCATAGGAATAACCTTAATAGGTCTTGTAAGTTCAACACAACAAACAGAACTTCAACAGCAACACCACAAAAAATGCTATCAACAAACCTGTAATCCCAAAGAGAATTGAGCTATGAACATGTAAAACTAACTATGATTTTTTTGTTTTTCCCTTTTTACAACACTTTCAACATTGAAAAAAACCAGTTAGCCCAATCAAATTAAGCCGTTAAATGTTATCAGAAATTTCTAGACTGTGCAACACAATTGTAATCACCCCGACTAAATTAACAGAGGCACAATGGCACACAACATTGTGATCGAAAGCGTTATCATGACCATTTAATCAGCGAAAATCAAATCTTTAAAGGCAATTTATTACAATATACAGTAGTAGATTCATTGTTTGATGTTCGGTTTGTCAAGGAATCCGAAAAATGTAGTCCAGAATATATATACATAAAGCAAGTTTGTACAATAGGCAATATAAAGTCATCTAAAACAAAGTAACAACTTTGAAACAAATACCTCTGCAAAGCAATCTCAGATCACCCACAACCATAGAGAAATTGTCACTGGGCATGAATATTTTGGTATATCAAAAAAGAAGAACACCCTTTCACTCTATATATAGACAATGATAAACAAGTGCACCCACACTAAAAGCCAACTATAATATTATATAATACTATATGTCACAGACTAACGGGGCGTTTGGCAATTGGGAATGGGAATTTGGGGAATATAGGGTGGGAGTGGGAATGGGAATTAATAGGTGGGAATTCATGAGATAATCCCAATCCCTTGTTTGGCATATTTTGGAAATAAGATTGAGAAATTTTAAATCCTATGTTTGGTATGTGGGAATAATAGAAGGATTAAAAGCATAATTTACAAGATTACTCTTTGCATATTAAAAAAGTGTAAATATATGTCACAAAAGAAGGGGTAGTATTGTCTTTTTAATAATTTAGTGAATTCCCCCCAAAATATTACCTGCCCCCCAAGTAATAAAATGTAGGGAATACAAGCTAATTATTCCCAAGCCCATTCCCATTTTATATCATAATTCCCACCAACCAAACGTGGGTTTATAAAGATTAGGGATTATTATTCCCATTCCCAACCCATAATCCCACTTACCAAACAGCCCGTAAGTACAACAAAGTAATCCCCAAGTCTTTTCTTATTCTTTTAAAAGGACAGTGAAGTAGTGCCCAAGTAAGCTATTCCAATCCAAGAACCATCAAAAACAAATCATACTCCTAACCTACTAATCAAAAATCCAATTTAAGAACCGTCAAAAACTAATTATACTCCTAACCTAATAATAAAAAAATAAATAAAAAATAAATAAAAAAAAAAAAAACACCAAAGCCTAACCTGCAATGTAATATAGCAACCCAAACCAACAAATTATACTCCTAAGTAGCTTATACAACCAGCTAATCCCAAAAAACGATCCTAACCTACAAATCGAAAATGGAAATAAGAACAAGGAAGGAAAAATATACCAGCCATTCTCAGACAGAACGTCAGTCAAAGACAATTCCCTTCCAAACCTCATCATCCACCAAAATAGAAGACTCAAACAAAACCAGCTCGACCAAAACCAACAAAAGCCCCAAAATCAAAAGCGAATCCTATAAGGAATAGGCTACCTTAGCTGCCAGTTAAAGAAAGACCTGAAGAAAGATTTGTACTCTCAATTACAGCTGTTATACAAAATGCATTTGGCAAAAAAGGGCAATTTCAGAAATCCATTAAATTCAAGGGTGTCCATGTAATAACACCACATACTATTGTTCATAAGCAACAGTAATTCCTTTTCATTTTTATAATGGTTATATTAGTTATAGATTTTGTATTATAAAGTGTATTATTTGGGGTTGTAACTCTTTTCTCTTTCTCAATTTCTTCTAATTCCTTGGTTGAATTTTGTTCTCTTTGATTAGTTTTTTAGAAGTATTTTTTTGTTGCTTTCAAAAGCAAACATTAAGCTTAATAAATTTGCAATTATTTTTATAATATTTTGATAGGGTATCCTCTGACCCGACCCGAGAAATTCGGGTATCCGATTAACGGATACCCGGATTTCCCGGGTCAGGTCATGGGCCGAGTAATTAACTACTCGCAAACCCAGGTACCCGCCTCTTTGGGTACCCTAAGCTCTACGGTTGTTTAACCGTAGATTTTTACCATTACTATTAAAGGTTAATACTTTGAAATATTAAAATACCTTTTTTAAAAAATATTTCTATATGAAAGTAATTTCAATTATCATCATTCAACAAAATTCTTTAAGAAAAATAGCAAACTAGTATGAAACTTTATGTAACTAGTTAAAAAATATATGTTACATACAAATCTAATTTGACAATTAGTTTGTCATTGGAGTTGGTCTGATGTTGATTAATATGTGATATATATCTATAATATTATTAATTGAACAATTACGAGTGTAAATAAACAGAGACGGTCAATAACCTACTCTGGTTCTAGCTCAATTTAAGCTTGTTCATGTTTCCCTATGAAAGCTCGAGATTGTGCATGGACTCGCCTAAGTTAAATGAACATGAACATAACCACGGCAATACTCGGCTTAGTTCATATACACCTCTATGAATTGAACAAGCATTAAAGTTTGGTCATTACTCCGATCGTTTCATAAAAATCACAACACTTCCAATTCCTTTTTCATACATTTAATAATAATTGCATTATTTCCTTATTTGGTAAGGACCTACAATTACTTTAATATTACTATTTCTATCAACTCCACTTACACTACTTTTTTAATACTACATTTCTTTTCCTACTGATAATTAAATCCCAAGTAACCATACTTTTATACTCCCTCCGTATTTTATTACTTGCTCCACTTTTCTTTTACGGACCGTATTTTATTACTTGCTCCATTTCCTTTTTTTTTGGTTATTTTCTAAAATGAGTTTTACTAATAGTAAAAAAGGAGTTTTAAAAGGAGGAAATTTCCAGGGTATTACATTATCAATCGTCATCTTCATCATAGCAGCAATTTTGCATAGCATTTTAAAGATATTTATCTATCTATATCTATTTGTTTGGTTTTTTTTTTTCTTTTTCTTTTTTTACCTTTTGGAGCTTAGGTGATGTGAAAGAATTTTTATTTGGAATTAATGTTAGGAGAAAGGGTTAGGGGAAGATGATAGGGATCGGGTGTTATTAAACGTCGTTCCCAAATTACAAGGTGACGCTCGCATTTTTTACTTGAATTTCCTAATTTGCCCCTCGTATATAAATACTCGGGAAATTCACTTTCGAAACTCACAAGTCATTTCACAACCCATACACTCTCTCTCTAAAATTTTCTCACTCTAAAAAAAAGTCAGAAATTTTAAAAAAAAAAAATAAGTCAGAAATTTAAAAAAAAAAAATCAGAAACTTTTTTTTCAAAAAAAACCCCAAACTTTGAAAATCAAACAAAGAACAACGAACACCAATCAAAGGTTGAATCCGGGTATGGCGGACCGGCGACGCATTAGGTTGGCATACGGTGGTCGTGGGGGCGGCGTTAGTGGCGGCGAGCAGGTTGGTTGTTGTTAATTGTTTCTGATTTTGAAAAAAAAAAGTTTCGTAAAACCAAGACTTTCGCCTGAAAAATCCGGAAATTTCAGGCGTATGTGGTACTTCCGCCTAAAATTTCCGGAAGTTTCCCCAGACTTCCGGATTTTTCAGGCGGAAGTCTGGGTTTTCTGAAAAAAAATTTTGGTCGATTTGTTTTTTTTTTTTTTTGTTTTCCTGTTTTTCGTGATTAAGTATTTTTTTTTATTATTTTTGAGTAATATAATTTTATTGTTTTTGTTATGTATATGTTTTTTATTAATTTCAGAAAAAAAAATTCCGCGTGATTAAGATATGTAAATTTTTTTTGAGTAATATAATTTTAATTGTTTTTATTGTTATTGTTATGTGTAATTATTATGTATTATGGTTTTTATTTATTTTGGAATTTTTTTTCCTCGTGATTATTGATATGTTTTTTTTTAACTAATATAATTATATTGTTTTTGTTGTTATTGTTATGTATTGTTGTTATGTAATTTTTTCGTGATTAAAATGTTATAAAAAAAATGGATTGAAATTATTGTTGTTGTTGTTATTACCATTGTTGTTATTATTGTTGTTGTTGTTGTTGTGTTGTAATGTTGTCGATTTTGTGGTTTATTATTGTTTTGATTTGGTTTATTGTTATTGTTGTCAAATTATTATTATTAGTTATAATTGATCCTTGGTAATGTTGTTATTATTGTTTATTTGATTTGGTTTATTATAGTTTTGAAATGATATTTTTGAATTTGAATATTAGTGATTCAACTTTGATATCATAGTTGTGTGTGTAAGTATTAATGAAATCTGATTTTTGTACTTATTTAATGCAGATTGAGGGTTCGGGCGCTCAACATGCAAGATCAAGACGTTTGAATGCATCAGTTAGGAGGGAGTTAGGTGGTGCAGGACCTTCGGAGGCACCGTTTCATCATGAGCAGCAGTACGGGTCTGCTGGTACTTGGTCGGGGGAGCACCAGTCAGATGGGAGCGCCCCCATGTACTCGTCGGGTAAAGTGCCTTCATCTGACAATGAGGATGACGAGCGAGCTAGTCATGCTAGTCGAGATTCAGAGTACGACCCTCAGGATTATCGTACCGTGTATAGGGCTCAGCATGGGGGATTTGTTGGTAGTAGTGAGCCAGGTCAACCTTCTACCAGCTTATCAGAGACGTGGGTAGTACAGGAGCCGATGCTAGGTGGGCCTGAGGATGGTACTATTATTCCTAGTTTTGGGGGTCACGTGGCTGTATATTTATGGGGTGGGCAGGAGCGAAATGTTCTGCGGTGTTTGAGCAGGACACAGTTGTGTACTGAATTGGGTAACTGGTGCGCTCGTCTTCCGCAGGAGCACCTGGAACTGATTGATGGCAGTGGTCTATCTCACTTACCCAGGATCATGTTCAGGCGATTTGACTGGCCCCTGATTTCTGCTTTTGTTGAGAGATGGCAGCCAGACACGAACACGTTTCACATGCCATTTGGGGAGATCACGATCATGCTACATGATATGTATCATATTCTAGGGCTTCGTGTCGATGGTTCCATGGTTTCCACTACTCCTAGCACGGACGTTTTACGGGACGCGTGCTCGATTACCATGGATATGACCGCGGAAGAGCTAAATGAGAAGGGCGGTACTAAAACTGTATGGCAGGGTAGTGGGGTGCTCACTGAGAGGATAATGGAGTCGACCTTGGAGGCACAGAGGCCCTTCAGTGTCCATTACAGGGCGTACTTGTGGTTAGTACTTGGCGGATGTCTGTTTTTGGACAAGAGTGGTAATTGTACTCATCCTTCCTCCCTCAACGAGCTTTTTGTTGAGGATGTTCAGATTAGTGAGTACTCCTGGGGTTCTGCCGTGCTAGCATATATGTATCGGCAGTTGGGTACAGCATCACGAAAAGATGCTAATTCTATCGCTGGTTGTCTTACGCTTCTATCACGAAAAGATGCTCATCCTCGTGTTTCTCTAGTTGCGCATCACATGGGAGTCGCGCACTGCCAGAGAGAACTAACATGGATTACGTAAGTACTTGTGTTTTTTGGTACTATAATTATCACTACAAATACATCCAATTTGTTTCATATGTTGTTTTTTTTTATTGCAGTGGATGGGTTGGTCCATGGAGGTTATCAACAGGACACTGGAGGAGTATCCGAGCTTGTCGCGTGATACGAGAGCAATGGCTGAGGCGCTACGAGCTGATTGGAGGGCGATGATGGGGTTGTGAATTCCCTGTTTATTAGTTTTTTTTTTTAGTTGTACGCATTTCGTTTATTTACTCTACATTCGGCATGTATTTTAAGAATTGGACTATTGTTTTTGTGTGGTTTTAGTTGAAACTTTGTTTAATTCAGAATTTTTATTTACACTTTACATATTTACACTTTACATATCTACAACTGTTCACAATAAATGAATGTACATAAATGCGTTCATTATCTAATTAACGCATCCCACATGTTCCTTCTAGCAGCATAACGCTGATCCCAACCGTCAACACTTGGCTCGTGGTTCTCAGTCCACCAACCTGCAATCGGGGGAAGAGATGAATCTGGTGCAAGGTCAATACAGATAAAATGTGAGCCCCCAACTGTAGCGATCACAAACTCTCGTTCAGGTGCAGTGACCCCCCTTCGTGCCCGCAACGGAAAAATCGTGAGGCATGGGTAGTAGCAGGTTGGTACGGTGCCAACACCAAGAATAATAAACATTGTGTTGAACCAATTAGCAATAGGAAATAAATCTTGAATTGCAGTCACCCAATGACGCGAATCAACCGCCCCACTGTCCCATCTTATTCGCTCCACATTGATCCCAAGTCTTCCAAGCCCGTAAATCCTCTCGTACAGGGTTGGATAACCAAGGACCTCATTTTCTATTGTTTCTCGAGCGTCATACCATCGTCCTTGATCACCGAAGAAGAACTCGGCCACACAAAGAAAGCCGCAGTTACCATCGCCGATGACATCCTTCCATCCTGTAATGTAAGGCAACATCGGTCTTGGAAGCATGTGTCGATAACGACTTTGGCTAATGTCACATGGATCTTCTGCACAAATTTAGGGTTCAGTTATTAGTACAGTAAATAATGAAATACGTGAAAATCACAATAGTCAATCTTACCTATTTGGCGTGCACTACGTGCAGTGTTCTGGCGGTTCACATGTTCAAAATAACAAGGATCACGTCTTGTATCATTGTTTCTTCGTCGACCACGAACCTGGTTTACAGTAGGATCTCCGAGGTCAGAGTGATCCGGATGCAGTTCTTCTTCAATGATGTGAGATACGTTTTGAAGAACAGCAGGATCACTACCGATTACCTCATCCATCAGAGAACGAAAATGTGCAGCGTCCTCGGCCGAGTCATTACCGAACACTGGTCCATCATCACCATCACCGATAACCAAGGTCTTCCAGAACGGGTGAATTTTCCTGATATACAAGCCTGTCCCTGCAGTTAGAGAGAACTGTATCTGGAAAGCACAGGGCAAACCGTGGGTCACACGCATTGCACATCCACATCGCTCATACACCTGATAGCTCAGCTCCCTCATCCTTTTCGTCTCGTCATCGAGAACCTTCAAACAATGCTGAGACACCTTGTCGTTAATACATGACAGTGGCAATTGTCGGTACTTCTGACCTATCTTCGACCTAGAAGCCTCCAAACCTTCGAATTACAATGATCTGATTACCAATGTGGCAATGAACTCGAGCCCATACGGTATCCAAAGAACCTGCACATTACAAAACAACCGTTACGATTTATAACAAAAATAACTACAACAAAATACATACATGAACTACAACATCCAAACAACAAACCTGTCGAGGATTCAAACCACATCTTCACGACCGAATGTTGGCTCTCAACTCTACAAGTGCTGGTGTTGCCTAGATGAAGAACTTGGTTTGTCCAAAATGTCACAAACTTCGTTTTATGACAAAGCCATGTTCTCTCAACATATTGTATCACCGCTGGATAACTTGCCCACCTATCTTTCATTGTATCTACAACAACATCATAATTCTCCTCGGTTGCAGCATCCATGATACGTTTCCATTTCCCATTTTTGAATTGCGCACCGATCTTCTTGTTTTTGAACATAGCAGTGACCCGAGCCTCCACATCTTTGTTAATGTGCCATCGACAAAGTAAGTGCGGGGTCCCTAGAAACACTTACCTCAAGGCCGCACATAGCCTAAGCTCAAGGTCTGACAAGAGAACCGACGGTTCCTTATTATACCCAATCAAGTCTCTCAATCTCTACAACACCCATCGATAGCTTGTCGTGCACTCGTTGCGCATGAACACGTAAGCAACGAGGAAATTCTGATTTTTCGGTGTCACACCAACTATCTCAAAGAACGACATCCCATATCGGTTAGTCTTGTAAGTGGAATCCATACCGATCACATATGGTTACGTCCGAAAGATTTCTACCGTGACTGGGTGCGCCATAAAGGCGTGCTGTAAAACGCCTTCATCATCAGACATGACCTAGTAAAGATACTAACTCTGTCTCGCCAAATGTAGAAATTGCTGAACAACTCCTCTCCCGTCAGAAATCTCCGATCTCAAGTCATTCCGGCTGTTGTAGATGTGTCTGATGTTTGGATGACCATCAGGAAACTGCTCGGCAATAGTCGCCATGATGTTATGCGGTGCAACCTTAGACTTCGTCATGTCACGCACAACCTGCTTCGCATCTGGTCTCAACCCACTAATTTTACGATGCCCCTCTAGATACGCAATCATTGGATGGTTGTGGGTCCCACTTTCATCATTTTTCGCCCGGATAATCCAACTGTCGGTGATGAACTCGTAGTATATCTTAATGTAGAAAGGACAACCATTGGCTTTGGTTTTTGTGTCCTTCCGAATTGCGTTCTCAAGATCTCTCGGCTTACTCCTGCGTCCCCGATCACATCTCAAATACCGAAATGGTCGACCATCTCTGGTTTTTTTGAAAGACGATTCACCAGAATAAATCCCAGATTTATGGCAACAACATCCGCCCATTTAACTGCATCCTCAAACGTTCGAAAAACCGTGTCTATCACAAAATTTGCCATGTAATTCACAACGTCACCGCCTTCTTCAACCTCCGAATCCTATAAACATAAATGACAAACATAAAAAAACACGCCAAGCTTAGTATTTTAAGAATAATATTAATAATAATAATAATAATAATAATAACAATAATAATATTAATAATAACAATAATAATAATAATAATAATAATAACAATAATAATAATCACAATAATAACAATAACAATAATAATAATAATAATAATAATAGTAATAATAATTATAATAATAATAATAATAATAATAATAATAATAATAATCATCGTAACAACAACAACAATAACAAAAACAACAATAACAATAATCATAATAATTTTACAATAATAACAAAAACAACAACAACAATAATCATAATAATAACAATAATAATAATAATAATAATAACCATGAAAATAATAATAATAATAATAATAATAATAATAATAATAATAATAATAATAATAATAATAATAATATTAAGCAATAACGTACAATAAGCAAAAAAAAGACATCCGCCCAAATATTCTGGAAATATAAAGGTGGATCCGCCTGAAATTTCCGGATCTCCTGGATCCTCCTTTATATTTCCGGAATATTTGGGCGGATGTCCACTTCACAAAAAAAAAAAAAAAATTCAGCGACATACAAATTCTTCCGACGAAGCCTCAGGCGTACGATCGTCGCCGTCGTTCATCGTCCAAGACCAGTCGCTACACCTTGCTTATTTTTCTCTGGTAAACGGTTTAAGATTTTTGGTGGTGAGCTCGGGATTTTTGGGGGCGCGTGATTTTCTAAATCCAAGTGGTGGGCTCGGGATTTTTTTAAACCAAGTGGTGGGCTCGGGATTTTTTTATGCCAAGTGACAAGGTGGTGGAGCCATATAGGCCAAATTCACATAAGGGCAAAAAAGTCATTTCCTCCTAAAATGGGAGCGTCACCCTGTAAATTGAGAACGACGAATAGCAATTCACTAGGGATCAATAAATAAATGTCGAATTCAATTAAGTTGAAATTGAAAGATAGAGGGAGAGGAAGAGAAAAAGGATTAAGATTAAGAGAATTAATTTTATTGAATTAAATTGAAGGTTATATATTGAAGAGCTTTGAAAGATGGTGAGGATAAAGGGCCAAGAAGTAAAAAGGATTGTAAGGAAAGTTTAAAGGAGAGGACATGTGGCGAATTGGATTGTTCTTTTAGATATTTAGTATAGAAGTATATACTATCTAAAAAGGATATATACCCTGTATCACATTTCTAGCATGTATTGAATGATAAAGTTATTAATATCTACTTAATTGTAGTAAGATTTAGACAAAAAAGCTCAAACTACAATCACTTGAACAATACACACAAATATGTCTTTTATTTTTTATTTATTTTTTTATTTTATTCCTGCACAATATGTTTTCTTTAAATACATTATGTGTCTCGCTCCTAAGTTTCGAGTATAAAATTAAGTGAATTCCACCCTTAGCACATTTGAAGAAGCAAGGTTTTTTTAAAATAAAAAATAAAAAAATAGAAGCGAAAACACAACTACTCAACACATAATGAAATTATCTTTATTTTTTCAAGTGCAATATACTAGTACTTTCTTAAATTAAACAATAGATTGCGTGTTTCTTTACTTTAAAGCATAACGAATAAGGAAGTTGAGTGTAAACATAAAAAATATATTGAAAATGGGAGGAGAATAGGGAAAATAAGGTAAACTATAGTCACTCGAACAATTCAAGGATACGTCTTTTCTTTCCATACATATAGTTTGTTATCTTAAATTAAATTTGGAAAGCAAATTCATTGAATATAATACCAAGAAAGTAAATTTCTTTTGAAGTACGATTAAAAATATAAATGAAAAATATTACATAATTTACATAGACAAAACTAATTAACAAATGCAATAAATATAAATCAGTCAAGCGTAGCAAAATCTACAATATGAACACTTAATAAGCACACATTTCACCTTTAATTTCCAATAATAGTAATAATCAATTACCAGATTACAAAATTAAACTAAAAGGAAAACAATAATGAAATCTTAACTGACAAACCATAACGGAAAACAAATGATGAATTCGTCTCTTAACTGACAAACTTTAATAGATAGCTAATTATGAAATTAATCAAATCTTAACCGACAAACTTTGATAGGAAACTAATGATGAAATCAAATCTTAACCGACAAACTCTGATAGAGAAGAGATGAATCATATAACTAACAAACTCTAACAGAGAACGAATGAATCTTAATTAACCGACCAACTCTAACAGTGAATATTGCAAATTAATTTTATCATTAACATGTATTGAATGAAGATGTTGTTTGTGCAGTATGAGGTAAATCTACTAAAAAAAGGGAATAGCGTAGGACAAAGAAGGCAAATCTGCATTCACGTGAGCAATACATGTAACCACCTTTTCTTTTCAAGTCCAGTACGCTTTCTTAAATTATGGATGACGTGTTTCTTAAGATAAATTATAGTCTTTTGTACCCTTCACCCTAAACACAATTAATGAGGAATTAGTGTGTGAACATCACAAAATTCAATTGACAATGGAAAAAGTAGCTAACATTATGGTTGCTCAAATAATATATGAAGTTTTTTTTTTATTTATTTATTTATTTTTTTTTCAAATACAATTTGTTCAAACTATATGTAAATGACATGTCTCTTAAGTTTATGATAATCATTAACAATTTCACTATCAACACATATTGAATGAGGAAGTAATGCATTAAAATATCAAAAATAAGATCACTGAGAACAAGAGCAAAGTTAGATAGAGAAGTTAAAACTAAACTTGTCAAATGATACACAGAGATGTCCTTTCTCTTTGACAATACATAGAGCTGTCTTTTCTCCATAGACACAGTTTCCTTTTTTATAAATTGTAGATATTACGTATCTTAAAAATATACTCAGTATAATCTTATGGTAAGAATCACGAATTGCGAAACTCAATTACTATGCACATATATGGTAAATAAATGGGTAGATAGAGCATATTGTTCTATACCTTCCTATTTTATACACCCTAATTTTGAATTTTTGATAGCAAGCATATTATTCTTCCTGTAAAAAAAAAAACAAAAGCCACACGCTTACGTGTGTTATGTCTTCCCTTACATATTAATTCTATTACTGGTATCATTCATTTATAAATATTTATATTTATATTATTACAATTATAATAAAAAAAAAAAAAACGCCAAAAAGAACGGCAATATCTTTTTCCCGAGGAAGACCGCAGACTCACCAACAACATCATCAAATCATCATCACCAACTTTAAATCAACGGTCATAATCTCTTATAACCCCACTCAACCTCCACATGTCATTCCCTCATTTGTCCTTCACACTCCCATTTCTCACAGCCAAAAAACTTCTAGTTAATCAGTTAAACACGCCAAATAAAAAAATAAATAAAAATTAAAATTAATAAAAGACAAGCTACTACTACTACTACTATACTACTAGAAGAAAAAGAGACTGTAATTCCCTTTTTTTTTCTTCATTCATTCATCTTCTCTCTTTCTCTCTCTTCATTTTCTCTCTCTACTTTCTCTCTCCTCTTTCTGGGTCTTCTCTTGCTTGACTGCTATCACGATCTTCTCTCTCCTCGAGCTTCAGCTTGATCTCTTATGGTTTAATCGTTTAATTTTTGGTTCAAGCTTTGAAATCGGCGTAAGTCAGCTGGTCAAAATTTTGGTTCGATCGACGCGTTTTTGGTCAATTTTGAGGTTCAGATCATGGAATTTTCCTCTTGTTTTTAGTGTTTTTTTTTTTTTTTTTTTTTTTTTTTTTTTTTTTGTGTTTTTGTGTTTTTGATTGTTCTAATTTAGGGTTTGAATTGGGTGTTTTTTTTTAATTGATTTTTGCTTTTGTAACTGTAACCTGGAATTCACGCGTTTTCTGGGTGTTTGTTGAATTTTTGTCATCGGAAAAGTTTGGGGGTTTTTTGCTTGAATTTGTTTTGGTTTTTTAGGGTTTATGATTGTTTGGTTATGGTGGTGGAAAAGGGTATTGAGTTGGGTGTTGTTGTGTTTTGAGGGAGATGGAAGTGAAGGGAAACTGGGTGAGTAACTAGGGTTTTGATTTTTAGTAGGTTAATTAATACTGTTTTTACCCTTTTTTGTTTGGAGAAATGTGATTGATTATTTATGATTGTTATTACCTATTGGAGAAGATTGTGCCATGATTCTTTCCTTCTAGATGAAATTTAATGATTGGAGTGGAATTCTATCTTGTGAAATTTTGCCCATTTACGTCTTCTGGTGTTTGATTGATCTAATTATGTTGATTTGTTAGCTGATTAGGTTGATTTTTAGTTGATTCGAGGCGGTTTTCCGGTTGATTGTGCTCTTATTCATCTTGTGTGTAATTTAAGTTATGATTAGTTCATTTAATTTGTATGGGTTTTTGCGGTTTATGGTTTTGATTAGGAATCATAGAACTTGTTATCGTTTACGTGTATTTATTCGGCTTGTTATTGATTCTGCTTGAAAATTGCTGTGGATGCTTTTATGTAGGGCTTCGGCTGGGAGTGTTTTAGATTTGGCGTGCTGATGCTGAGGAATTAGATAGATTCAGAGCTTGCTTCTCTGATTGGGGGAACAAGATGTTGGAAGCTTCGAAGTTTACTGGGATCATAGGCATTAACAACAATGATAACAAATTTTATGACTTCTACAAGCTTGGAGTTGGTGAGAATTCCAACATGTCGATTGACAGTTATGCAAGCTTGGCAGCGAGTAATGGTGGGGGATCTATTGCAATGTCTGTTGATAATAGCAGTGTGGGTTCTAATGATTCACACACTCGTATGTTGGGTCATCAAGGATTGAAGCGTGTCAAAGATAATTATTCAGTTGCTGGAAGCAATAATCATCGAGGAAGGGTAACCCATGCTTTAAGTGATGATGCACTTGCTCAAGCTC